CGGGGCCGGTGGCGCGGCCTGACTCCCCCTGCCGCCGCCGCCGCCGCCGCAGCTCTCCTCACAGCTCTCGTCACGAGGCCGAGGCGAAACCTGCTGCGCTTTACTGGATGGCGATGGAGGGAAGGCGGGTGGAGGGTGGGTGCGGGGCCACCGTGGCGGGTCCCGTCCTCCCGCCCGGGCCAGGAGGGCAGCGGCCGCTCCGCGCGGCGATCCGCTCCGCGTCCGCCTCTGCTGCGTGCTCACGAGGGAGGCGCCGGCCGCGCTCACTCCACGGCGAAGCCGCACGTCTCCTCCACGGCCGTCAGCAGCTTCTCGTACAGCTTCTCGAAGGACTCGTAAGGCGGGATGTCGATGCGGTTAAAGCTGCGGGCAGGGCGGGCAGCTGGGGCGCGGGCGGCCAGGCGCAAGGCCGCCACCCTCCCCGTGTCCCAGGCCGCAGCCCCCGGGTGACCAGCCACGCGGGGCCCGCCACCCCCAACCCTGGCCTCTGAGGGCGCCATGACCTCCCGAGAATGGAACTCGGGGCCGCGGGCTCCAGCAGCCGCTTTGCAGTTACTTGTGGGACTTTTCAACAGAGGAGGGGCCGCGTTTCCAGAAGGAAGGGGCCCAGCTCTGCTGAGAGCCCGAGGACTCACCAGGTGTGGGCCTTGGGCAGGTTGTCGGTGTTGGCGTCGATGAGGTGGATGGTGAAGAGCCGGGGCCCTGCCGCGCCTGTAGAGCCTTACAACAGAGCGTGGTAGTTAACGCGCTCAGAGCCCGCACCCGCCGCAGGCTCCGGCCAGGAGCATGCGCAGACACTGCACGGGAGGCCCCCCGCGCACCTGGCCGTCCTGGCTCCAGGACCCCAAGCCGGTCAGCGCCGGCTGCTGGACACCCCGGGGACAGCCGAGGCTCAGACTGGGCTTTGTGGACTCGGCCTGGCCTCGCTCGCGTTCGCGTGCCTCTCCCGAGGCGAGCTCACGGCGCGCCCCTCTCTCTGGGCTCCCGCGTGCGCGCTCCTCTCTGGGCAAAACCAGGAGAGCCAGTACCCCGTGTGGAGAAAAGGGGTGCACGGCGGCCTGAAGGCCAACACAAGTCTGTGCGCGGGCGCCAGGCCGGGCCCTACTCCCTAGGGAGACGTGGAGCAGTGGCGCCGGAGCCGCAGCTTCTCTGGGGAACGCGCGGGAGGCCAGGCAGCCTCAGCCCACTGCTGCGCCCCGCACCCACCCCGCTCCGCTTCTCAAGCTCATCTGGACTCCAATCCAGATGCTTGCCTCCTCGGGCCGGGGCCGGGCCGGACCCTCCCTGTTGGGCCACCTGAGCCCACGGCCCTGCCGCCCCTCCAGCCCTCTTGGCTTGTTGAAAGCGGTGAGGACACGGGAGTCCCCCCCCCCCCCCCCGCTGTCACACGGCAGCACCGCCGTGTTCCCCGAGCCTGGCGCAGAGGCCCCGCCTCCCCTTCAGTCACCTTGCAGAGCCTTGAAGCCTTGCAGAGGAACACGGGTGGAGCCGGTCACGAACTGCAGGAGCCTGGCCCTCCGCTCCTCGTCGAAGGTCTCCACCGCCTGCCAGAACCAGCGCACGATGCTGCTGTCGGCCGCACAGTGCTTCAGCCGCGTGTTGGACTTCCAGTCACTCACGTCGATCTTGTCCAGGCCGCCGATTATTAGCTGCAGGGGGGCTGTGGTCACCCCCATGCCGCCAGCCCCAAGCACCCCCAGGCCTGCTCATCACTAGGGCCGGGCTTGTGCAGTCCACCCACGGGCCCGCAGTCCACCCACGGGCCCCACCGCCCACCCCAGGGCTCCAGGTGCTCTGCATCTGCAAGTGTAGAAGGCAGCAAGGCGGGACAAGGAAGGGCACCTTGTTCAAGTGTGAAAGGCAATTAGTAGACAGCCGCCCTTACTGTCTACAAACCGCCAACGGGAAGCTTCCTGTGGGGCCTGTGGGAAGGCCACCGAGCCTCCAGGCCAGGGCCTTCAACACCTGGAGCTGACCCAGGACACTTGTGAGTCGCTCAGCGCTGCCAGGGGCCCTGTGCCAGGTGACAGCTCCCGCTTCACTCCCAACCCTGTCCGTCCTGGCAGCCGCCCATGCTACCAGCGGCCAGGCTGGGCCTCGCACACACACCTCTAGTTCCTTCTGGTCGAAGGGCTTCAGGAGGTGTTGCGGGATGAGTTCATTGAAGCCCTTGTGCAGTGCCAGGAACTGCGCCTCGATTCCTCTCATGAACCTCCAGTTCACATAAAGCCTGCAGCAAACCTGCACGTCAGGGGCCCCGCAGCTGCTGGCGGCGGCCCCGGGAGCTGGTGCCGATGCCGTGTGAGCACGCACAGCCGCTGTGGTCGGAGTGTGTGGAGCGGGTGCAGGGCACGGCGCTGGCTTACCGCACATATTCCTTCTTGTTGTCCTCGGTGACCGGCACATTCCGGCCGTTGGGCTTCAGCTCGTGCTGGAGGATGCGCCCAAAGGCATTGTGCTCCACGCAGAACGTGTGGTCCAGCACCGGGGTGATGTCGTTCTCCCTGTCCGTGGGAGGGCTGTGTGAAGGTGGGCTGAGGGTGCGGGAGAGGAGGCGCAGGGGTGGGGGGTGGGGCCCCGCTTCCCAGACCACCGTTCACAACAGAAGCGAGTGTGCGCATCATGGCGTGGTGGGGACGCCGGGGAGACACGCGTGGCTAGGCCAGCATGGGGGACACAAGCCAGCCTGGGAATCGTGACCGCTGCGGCTGTAATGCACATTCTCAAACTGGACCCAGGCACAGACAGGTGTGCACGCACACACACTCACACGGGGGGCCAGGGACTCACAGGATCCACACCAGGCTCTTGTGCAGCTCGGGGTCCACCGACTCGAGGTCGGACAGCTGGATGGGCTTGCCCAGCAGCTGCTTGTAGAAGGGCACCGTGAAGCCACCGTTGATGTGGTGCCCGTGGAACACGGCCAGCCCCATGATCCGCCCCACGAAGTGGAAGTAAGACAGGTGGTCCTGGGGGTCGGAGAGCATTGTCAGAGCGTAGCAAGGGAGGAAGCGGCGTCCCCTCCCCGCTTCCTGAGGGCCAGTGCCCCTTGGGGCCAAGCGGCACGAGGCCACTCGATTGCTCATCTTGAGCAGCCGTCCATGGAGGGCAGCAGGACATTCTTGTTTTGTGACAAGAGTCTTGCTGTCTAGCCCACACCGGCCTCCACATCTTGAGAGCCTCCTGCCTTAGGGATTATAGCTGTGCCCAACCCTGCCCAGCTTAAACATTCACACACACAGGCCGGTCTTCAGAACTGGGCCACCACTGTGTCCCCGGGGGAGCACTGGCCAGCAGGAAGTCCTCCCTGGGGGAGTGGGGGGGCAGATCCTCCTTCCTCTGCCACCCCACCCTAAGGACAGGGTGTGCAAATAAGCCATGGAAGAAGTAGACAAGCCATTCTGAAACTAGAGCTGGGCTGGGTTTAATAAAGGAATTTCACATTTCTGTGTTCGGGTCTGAATGGAAATCATCAGAGAAAGTGGGTGAGAATGTCACAGGTCACAGGGCTCATGGAGAGCGAGCGGCCTGCCTCTCGCACCCTGCACGTGGGGAAGGGAGACGCAGTCCCTGGGGGAGGACAAGGCCCCTGGGGCCAGGTCAGAGCATTACGCACCGGGTTGATGGCGGAGTCGGGGTTGATCTGCAGCATGTAGATGTTGTCCGTGGAGTACTGGAAGAGGCCATAGTAGGGGTTCAGCATTTCGTGGCACAGCAAGTACAGCCACTCCCTGGGAAGAAGAGCAGCACGGCTGACTCCTGCAGTCTAGGCCTATCACAGCCCACTATTCAGAGGGCGTGGCATATGCAGCCTGGCAAGCGGCCTGCGCCTTGTGCAAGCCAACGGCTGTCCTTTGGCCTGGCAGATCCCCTATGGAGGGTCTAACACCTAACTGATTAGCGGCCAATCACGGAAACGACAACGTGACATGAGGCAGCCTCAGGTGAGGACCCATTGGGCCTCCCTCGAGACTCCTCCAGTGATGAGCTTTGAGCGCCTGAACACAGCGCAGGCCAGGGAAAGCAGGGAGCCAAGCACAAAGCACCAGAACCTATCTGAAACATAAAGCATGACTAGAGCGCGGCGCAAGGGGCAGCGCATGCCCTGCCCAGCAGTGTGAGACCCTGAGTTCAAACCCCAGCACTGCAGGGAGTGGGCAAGGAAGGCCAAAAGTACCTGCAGCACTAGGAGACAAGTGGAACGTGCTCCTAGAAAGAAGAAGGCGAGGGGTGAAAGACAACAGAGTAGCCACTCAACCAGCAAAAACTCAGGAGTAGAGTTTTGCTCAAGTTGTAGAACACCAGCCATATGAGAAAAAGCCAAGCAAGAGCACGAGGCTCTGAGTTCAAATCCTACTATCAACATGTACATATGTTCACCAGGCACCAGTGGCTCAAGCCAGTAATCTTAGCTCCTCAGGAGGCTGAGATCTGAGGATCGCGGTTGAAAGCCAGCCCGGGCAGGAAGGTTGGTGAGACTTATCTCCAATTAAACACCAGAAAACCAGAAGTGGCACTATGGGTTCAAGTGGCAGAGTGCTTGCCTTCAGCTGAAGAGCTCAGGGACAGTGCCCAAACCCAGAGTTCAAGCCCCACAACGGATCAAAAAAATACCCCAAACATGTACATATGCTCAATGGGTGTGTGTACCATTTGCACATGGAAGTGCACACACGTCTCAAGAGTAAAAAGGGGAAGTAACTGTTCTGGAAGATACTGAAGCTGATGAGAGAGACTAGAAGAAGAGGAAGAGGGGGAGAGGCATGGTTCAAAGCTGGGACACTTGCTTACGTAGTTCAGAACAGTCCAGCAAATGAAAGGAAGAAAATCCCCAGACAAAACAAAACTGGTTCAACAAAATGAATTACAGAATACAATCTAACCTCTTAGTGAACCATGTTTACACACTGTCATAATAAAGGCAAGAGACTGCAGATTTAATTTGGGTTACAGAAAAAAATGTTAACCAACACTAATGACAAGAAAGTAATGATCTTCCTGACAGGATTTTAAGAGGCAGAAGGAAGAAAGGAGAATGGAGAACGGGAAGGACAAAAACATCCATCACCGAACTAGAGTACTAGATGCCCCATCCACCAGCTGTCAGTTGTGTGTGCTGCTCTTGGGCTTGAACTCAAGACCAAGGTGCTGTCCCTGAGCTTTTTTGCTCAAGACTTTACCACTTGAGCCATAGCTCTACTTCTGGCTTTTTGTTGGTTCACTGGAGCTGTAGGTGTGAACCACTGGTTCCCAGCTGGTTTTGTTATTTTATTCTATAAAATAGTTTAAAATCGCCAGTGGCTCATGCCTGTAATCCTAGCTACTCAGGAGGCTGAGATCTGAGGATCATGGTTCAAAGCCAGCCCAGGCAGGAAAGACCATGAGACTCTGATCTTCAATAAACCAATAGAAAACCGGAAGTGGCGCTGTGGCTCAAGTGGTAGAGTGCTCGCCTTGAGCTGAAGAGCTGAGGGACAGCACCCAGGCCCAGAGTTCAAGCCCCACAACCGACCAAAAAAAAAGCTTAAAATCATTTGCTTGAATTACGCTGGCCACACCCTCACCATGTCGCAAGAGTCCCATGGCACAGCACACCTGGCATGCCGCCTCGTCCTGCTGTGCGGTCGCTTGCGGCGAGGTGGGGGCGGGTGAGTTTAGAGGCTGAACTGAGAGTTTAGTGGGTAATGACCGGGGTCCCCATGCAGTGCCAGCTAACGCCAGCCCTGATGGCCCCAGGGGCTAGCAGCCGCCAGGGCACACATGGCAAAAGGCAGACAGGACTCTCACCTGGCCACGCCTCCATAGTCTAAGCCCTCCTCCCCGCGGAACTTGACCATGAGCCGCTTCTTCAGGTCTTTCGGCCGCATCTTCATGATCTGCCTGTAAGACTCCTACAAGGCAAGCCACACTTCACAGAGGGATGTACGTACATGTGTGTGTATGTGTGCACACGCACGCACACCCACACTCACACCCACTCACAGATGAACCATACAACATCGATGCCAGTGCTCATCTGTCCTGTTCCCTGACCTCGAGACCCTTCCACCCTACCCTCCCACAGCACCTCTCCTCCAATGCCGGTGACACGCACCCTCCTGTGTGAGGCACTGCCGACACTGAAGGACTGAGAGTGTAAGCACTGAACGTGGGGAAGCGGGGCACGGTGGCTCATGCCTGCAATCCCAGCTACTTAGGAAGCAGAGATCAGGAAGTTCAAGGTTTGAGGACAGAAGGAAATACAACTCTGTTCAGTACCCTAAGGGCATTTCTCCATGAGCCCTAGGGAACAACGTATATATTTTAACCAAAGAGAAGCTGCCATGAGTCTGGGCATCACAGGATTTTGTGAAAAACACTCACAATCCCACTGAGTTCAGAGCAAAGGAGTTGGTGAGGGAAGTGGCAGCGGGTGCCTCCGTGGAGAGGCCCCGCGCAAGGCTGGGGAGGGCTGTGCTTACCAAGGTGTGGGTGGAGGTCATCACTATGGGCTACTGCCCCAGGGCCAGAGTCCTCTCCTGAGAGGAGGGGACGGAGGGGAGAAGCAAGGAGAGGGAGCTTTGCCTCTGAGGTGGTGGCCTGCCTCTGAAGCCTCCCTCAGCGCGCACAGATCACGAGGTCAATTTTTGTTTTTTTAAGACTTTAGGAATGGAATCCAGGGCCCTCTCTTAACACTCAAGTTCATGTTCCTTTTTTTGTGGTGCTAGTTTTGAACTTAGGGACTCAACATTTGCTACTCAAGTGCTCTGCCACTTGACCACATCCCCTACCTTTTTTTGTTGTTTTTGTTTTTTGCGCCTGGGCGCTGTCCCTCACCTCTTGAGCTCAAGGCTAGCACTCTACCATTCAAGCCATAGCGCCACTTCTGGCTTTTTCTGCTTATGTGGTGCTGAGGACTCGAACCCAAGGCCTCATGCATGCAAGGCAAGCGCTCTACCACTGAGCCACCTTCCCAGCCCTGCTACCTTTTCTTTTTACTTGTTTTTCAGATAGAGACTCAAACGTTTGCCTAGGACAGCATCTGTCCTATTTTTGTCTCCATCTACACAGCTGGGATTACAGATGTGAACCAATAGACTGGGCTTGTTGGCAGATAGTGTGGTTTAGCTAACTTCTTCCCCAAGCTAGCCTCAAACATCCACCTTCCCGTTCTCTGCTTCCTAAGTAGCTGGGATTGCAGGCTTGAGCCACCATGCCCCGCTTTCCCAAGTTCAGTGCTTACTCTCAAGTCTATCAGTGTTGGCAGTGTCACACAGGAGGGTGAGATGTGGTCCAACCACCACCACCATTTATTCCTCATGATCATATTCTCCCTGTTCCGGGGCCTTGATCCTGTAGGGAGTGGGGGGGTGGGGGCCTTAGGGCCCCCCGGTCCCAGAGCAACAAGGAGAGCAGAGGTGATCTGTGCACCTTCCAGACCAGGTTCGCATCCGTGACATGGTGCGGAGGGATTCACCACAGGCCCCAAGGCATCGGAGAGCACTGAGCCGTAAACCCATCCGCGACTCTGAGGTGGGCACCCCAGGCACCGCGCCTGGTGCTCTCCCAAAGGCCTGCCACGCACCTCGAAGATCTCCTCCCGGGAGACCTCGATGCGGCAGTGTCCGGCCTGCGGCTGCTGCAGAGACAGCTCGTGGCGGAGCACCTTCAGCTTCTGGACCAGGTCCCGCTCGTAGCGCTGCGCCGGCAGCTCCTCCTCCTCCAGGGAGCCCTCGCTGGGCAGCGGCGGCGGCTGGCTCGGCTCCTTCAGCTGGCACTGGTGACTGCGGGAGGGCGGCCGGTCACGCATGGAAGGGCCACGGGGAACTCGCGGTCACGGGGG